CACAGATAAACTATAACACAGATTTAAACTACAACACAGATAACTACAACACAACTAAACTACAACACAGATAAACTATAACACAAATAAAAATACAACACAACTAAACTACAACACAGATAAACTATAACACAGATAAACTACAACACAACTAAACTACAACACAGATAAACACAACACAACTAAACTACAACACAGATAAACTATAACACAGATAAACTACAACACAGATAAACTATAACACAGATAAACTACTACACAGATAAACAACAACACAGATAAACTACAACACAACTAAACTACAACACAGATAAACTATAACACAGATAAACTACAACACAGATAAAGTACAACACAGATAAACTACAACACAGATAAACTAAAAACACAGATAAACTACAACACAGCTATACTATAACACAGATAAACCAGTAGGAAACACGACTGAAAAATACAACCATTGAACTCAACAAAAACTGAGGAAATTTTTTCAGAATAAGATACAAAAGTTAGCGGGGAAATTCTATGCCTGGAAACAGCCATTAAAAGAAACACTGGAAACAGGAAACAGGAAGCGACAAGAAAGGACCGTCAAAAGAAACACTGGAAGCAGGAAAAAGGAAGCGACAAGACAGACCGTCAAAAAAACACTGGAAGCAGGAAACAGTAAGCGACAAGACAGACTGTCAAAAGAAACACGGAAGCAGGAAACAGTAAGCGACAAGACGGACCGTCAAAAGAAACACTGGAAGCAGAAAACAGTAAGCGACAAGACGGACCGTTTAAAAAAAACACTGGAAGCAGGGAAAAAGTAAGCGACAAGACGGACCGTCAAAAGAAACACTGGAAGCAGAAAGGGGAAGCGACAAGACAGACCGTCAAAAGAAACACTGAAGCAGGAAACAGTAAGCGACAAGACGGACCGTCAAAGAAACACTGGAAGCAGGAAAACAGTAAGCGACAAGACGGACCGTCAAAAGAAACCTGGAAGCAGGGAAAAAGTAAGCGACAAGACAGACTGTCAAAAGAAACACTGGGAAACAGGAAACAGTAAAGCGACAAGACAGACTGTCAAAAGAAACACTGGAAGCAGGAAACAGGAAGCGACAAGACAGACCGTCAAAAGAAACACTGGAAGCAGGAAACAGTAAGCGACAAGACGGACCGTCAAAAGAAAAACTGGAAGCAGGAAACAGTAAGCGACAAGACAGACTGTCAAAAAAACACTGGAAGCAGGAAACAGTAAGCGACAAGACGGACCCTCAAAAGAAACAACTGGAAGCAGAAAACAGTAAGCGACAAGACGGACCGTCAAAAGAAACACTGGAAGCAGGAAACCAGTAAGCGACAAGACGGACCGTCAAAAGAAACACTGGAAGCAGGAAACAGGAAGCGACAAGACAGACCGTCAAAAGAAACACTGGAAGCAGGAAACAGTAAGCGACAAGACGGACCGTCAAAAGAAACACTGGAAGCAGGAACAGTAAGCGACAAGACAGACCGTCAAAAGAAACACTGGAAGCAGGAAACAGTAAACGACAAGACAGACTGTCAAAGAAACACTGGAAGCAGGAAACAGTAAGCGACAAGACAGACCGTCAAAAGAAACACTGGAAGCAGGAAACAGTAAGCGACAAGACAGACTGTCAAAAGAAACACTGGAAGCAGGAAACAGTAAGCGACAAGACAGACCGTCAGCAAGAAGATAATTTCTTCACATCCAGTCGAGATCGTGATTCTTCTGGAGGATCCAGACGACATATCTGAACCTTTAACAAGGATTCTGAGCAGGTTACTACAGATTCAACTGATGCTGGAGAAACATAAGAAATATAAGAAAGAAGGAACACTGCAGTATGGCCTACGGCCCATGAGAGGCAAACATGATACACAAATAACCCGCGCATAAAAGACAGAAGCTTACGACGACGTTTCGGTCCGACTTGGACCATTGACAAAGTCACATGATCCATAACAAGAACACTCAACAAACTCGAAGGAGCACTGCAGTAGGCCTACTGGCCCATGAGAGGCAATCATGATCCACAACAAGAACACTCAACAAACTCGAAGGAGCACTGCAGTAGGCCTACTGGCCCATAAAAGGCAATCAAGGTCCACAACAGGAACACTCAACTTGCTCGGAGATTCCACACATTTTTAACGGACGTGGGGGGTTGATCAATTTCCCTCTCAAAATAATGTGAAGAGAATGCTCGAGAATGTAGAGAACATCAGGAACTTCCTGACGGATATCTAGAATGAATTTAATGATTAATAAACACTCTGATTTGTACACACAAGGTTGAGGGAAGTCGGCCTGACGACACTGGAGGACAGGAGGGATAGGGAGACATGATAACGACATACAAAATACTGCGTGGAATAGAAAAGGGTGGACAGAGACAAGATGTTCCGAGATGGGACACAGAAACAAGGGTCACTTTTGGAAGCTGAAGACTCAGATGAGTCACAGGATGTTAGGAAGTATTTCTTCAGTTACAGCCTGGTCAGGAAGTGGAACAGTCTGGCGAGCGATGTAGCGGAGGCAGGTCCCATACATAGCTTTAAGACGAGGTATGATAACTGGTTTTAGAGAACCAACAGTCTGATGAACCCGTTGGTTATCTGAACCCGTTTATCTGCATTCCTGTCAGACACAGCAACGTCTTGGGATCTTGACAGTGTAATCTATATTTGTCTAACCGTATTTATGACCTACTTCCAAACCCGTGGATTTATCCAAGGTGACGCCGCCTCCAACTTCTTTACCTCACCTGTCTGCAGTATGTAATCTCCTTCTCAACGCATATACTATTTTTCTTTACAAGATTGATGGATTGAAAAAAAAATCGACTCCAGGCTGAGGGACTATTACTTCGTCTTTTTACTGAGGGACTGATTACCTAGTCTTCCACTGAGGGACTGATTACCTAGTCTTCCACTGAGGGACTGATTACCTAGTCTTCCACTGAGGGACTGATTACCCCCCTCTTCCCTGAGGGACTGATTACCTATTCTTCTACTGAGGACTGATTACCTAGTCTTCCCCTGAGGGACTGATTACCTAGTCTTCCACTGAGGGACTGATTACCTCCTCTTTCCCCTGAGGGACTGATTACCTAGTCTTCTACTGAGGGACTGATTACCTAGTCTTCCACTGAGGGACTGTTACCTAATCTTCCACTGAGGGACTGATTACCTAGTCTTCCAATGAGGGACTGATTACCTAGTCTTCCACTGAGGACTGATTACCTAGTCTTTCCACTGAGGGACTGATTAAACCTATCTTCCACTGAGGGACTGATACCTAGTCTTCCACTGAGGGACTGATTACCTAGTCTTCCACTGAGGGACTGATTACCTATTTTCCCAAACTGAGGGACTGTTTTACCTAGTCTTCCACTGAGGGACTGATTACCTAGTCTTCCACTGAGGGACTGATTACCTAGTCTTCCACTGAGGACTGATTACCTAGTCTTCCATGAGGGACTAAATTACCTAGTCTTCCACTGGGGGACTGATTACCTAGTCTTCCACGAGGGACTGATTACCTATCTTCCACTGAGGGACTGATTACCTAGTCTTCCACTGGGGGACTGATTACCTAGTCTTCCACTGAGGGACTGATTACCTAGTCTTCCACTGAGGGACTGATTACCTAGTCTTCCACTGAGGGGACTGATTACCTAGTCTTCCACTGAGGGCTAACGATTCCCTAGTCTTCCACTGAGGGACTGATTACCTAGTCTTCCACTGTCTCAAGCCACAAAACCTTAAATAAAAAAGAGCCACAATACCGTGACTGCAACAATACATAAATAACCCTCACCTAGAGACAGTAAAATTATAACGACGTTCGGTCCGAGGTGGACCACTGACGAATCAATGGTTGAAGTCAGAGCAAAATATCGAAGTTTTTCTTTTGTGCTTTGCTGTCAGTTTTGACTTCTTTCTTAAATGTTATTAGTAACCATGTGTTTGTGCAGCTGTTGTTGTAGGTCTGGAGACACTCTTTTGGGAGTTCTACCGTGGCGACCTCGGTGCTTGTCTGGGTCACTATGGTAGATGCTTTCCTGCGTAACACAGAAGCATACTCGCCACCCCAACACCAAAGACATCGATTATATCAACAAAGAATACCTCAACAAAATGGAAGAGGCTGGGCTTAATGGAACTTCACAAGTCATAAAATCGGGAACGGTATGTCAACTAGGGGAGTGTGGCAAGGGGGTGTTAAACCCACCTGGGAGATAAGGACCCCCAGTCTTGTACTCTGTCAGATTCATATCTTTATCATGCACCCCAATCCCACCCTGGGGACGGTAGTCAAAATTACAGAGGTACATAATGGGTCCATGGACGTACCGAGAGTTTGATAGCTGAACAAGACAGATGTACGTAAACCTTTACCAGGGGTGGGTTTTGAAACCGGGGTTAGTCTCAAAACTCCAGCCCGGGTCGCGTTAGCCACGGGACCAGCTAGCTTCAATAAGATTCGTCCAACTAGGAATACTTCTACACCAAGGAAGGTCATGCTAACCTTCCTATGGGTAGATATATACCTAGTTGGATGAATCATATTGAATCTAGCTGGTCCATGGCTAACGCGAGGGTCTGGAGTATTGAGACTCTCTGACCGCGGGTCCAAATCCCACCTGTGGTATAGTTTGTTTGCAATCGTGTCATTACGATTTCGTGAGACAGGTACATTTAGTAGTCTGCACTACTGACTGGCCAACAGTATTTGTAACACTTCGTATAAACGTTATAGAAACGTTAGAAATAAATGATCACATAAATACTATATCTGTGTTTGTCCAACGAGAGGATAATTTATACCACTTAATGCCTTTTAAACCTACCTGTCGCCTTACACCATTGTTACCTCTACGGAGATTACCTTGAAACCTTTTACAGGAATAACCAGGGAATTTGTGTCTTGTTCCAGTCAGGATATTATGCCGTTTTATTCTATTTGAGGCCTTTCACCTCTCCAGGTTGGGACGGAGCGGCAAACATTGATGAGTTTACCGGAGGGAAGATAGCATACGTGGACCTTTCGAGTCCCGTCAACCTCGGAGGTCCTTTTGACTGGGTGATGAGCCTGGAGGTGGGCGAACACATCCCTCAGTCAGGAGAGAAGAATTTTGTAGACAACCTCGTTAAACATGCGTGTGTAGGTGAGTCGTTCTAGTTGTTGGTTTCTTGCCTTTGCTACAGCTGCTGCAGGTGTGCTGGTGTATTCCCCTTGACCTAAACTGACCTGTTGCAGGTATTTTCTTTAGTGTTGTCTTCTCCTTGACCAAGAATGATCTCTGTTCCAGGTGTGGTGTTGTCATGGGCAGTGCTAGGACAAGGGGGACACGCCCATGTCAACTGCCGCTCCAACGACCACGTCAGGAAGGAAATGCTGTCCCGGGGTCTCGTGACGGACAAGGAAGCTGAGGAGAACCTGAGAGCTCTGGTCGAGGTCTCATATTTTAAGAACACTCTCATGGTTTTCAAGTACCCGAAGAAGAGGTGTTGAATTCCACCTGTTCCCATGAACAGACTCCATTCCTGTATACTCATCTCCTTTACTCACCTTTTCCCTCTTCCTATTCCTTCTATTCTCTGTATCTAGTGGAACTCACCCGAGATGATATCCACCAGACCTGATATATACACTGAGATGTACTCACCTAGTTGTACTCACCTAGTTGAGGTTGCAGGGGTCGAGTCCAAGCTCCTGGCCCCGCCTCTTCACTGGTCGCTACTAGTCACTCTCCCGAACCATAGCTTTATCGACCTCTTG